TAATAGCTCTTTATGTATATGCAGTTTACCATCTCGATTTTATTAATTCAATAACCCACAAATACTTAATAAAAGGGCACACTCAAAATGAGGGTGATAATGTCCACTCCCTTATTGAAAGAGGAGTAGGTAAAGCTTCTAAAGTCTGGACTCATATATACACCTGACCAGTATGTGCACATTATAAGAAATGCTAAAAAATCTGGTAAAGCCTATCAAGTAAATGAATTAATACACGAAGATTTTTTTGATATAAAAGCGTTGGCTTCATCGATAGGCAAAAATTTTTCTAAGAATATGGACAAAGAAACGTTAAAGCTAGGAGACGTCAAAATTTTAAAGGTGGAATCTAATGACTCTAATTACTGTTTTTCCTATAGAACATCGTACGAGGACACAGAGTTTAAAACAGTCATGATAGATAAAATTGGTAAGACAAGAAACACTGCCAATAATATCACTGTTAAAAAGGCATACAGAGAAAAAATCCCAATATGTGAGAAGAAGAAGAAGGGTTTGCTAGACCTTATTAGGAAAAATATTGTACCAAGATTTTATAAACCATTTTTGAGAATCTCTAATTTTTATTATTAAGTGTACCTGAAGAAGACTGATTATGCGGTAGTTGTCCAATGTTTGATAGATTTTTTTGTTTATTGTTTTTAATTAACCGAATTATTTTTAAAACAAGCACAAGTTTGTTATTTTTTTTATGTTTAAGCATGGTTCATCATGTTCCTAATTATTTTTAGTTTGTTGATTTTTTTTATGTTTATGGTTCATAATGTTCCTAAATATTTTTAAAAAGCAAAACTTTGTTAGAATTTTATTTATGTTCATGGTTCATAATGTTATTTTTCCTAATTACTTTTAAGAAGCGTAATAGATAGGTATTGTTGGTTCGATTTTTTTTATGTTTGTGATTCCGAATATTTTAATGTTAACGTGATCATTTTAATCTGCGTACTGGTAGCTTGATGACAGTAATAGACATACTGCAAATTGTTATAAAATGTGGACTATAATAATAATAAATAATAAATAAATAATAATAAAAATACTTTTCTACAGGTTTGTTTAATCTCGAAATATGATAAACAGAAATGTGTTACTCTACAGGAAAAATCGTTCCGAAAGCTTCAGCATAAAACAAATAAATTGATTTGTGTTTGAACACACTTATCATTAATATTATCTTTATCGTAATTGTGTCATTATTACAGATTTTTTTAATATCTTGTAGATCATATTACCAGTTATGCCATTGTAAAACTAAAATTGAGAACTGTTCATATGTATTATTTTGATTTATGTTCCTATTCATGATAATATACCAAAACTCATTTTGTAACAAGTCGAATACGTCATAGTTTTTAATTATTAATCAAGGTAATCGCAGCTCAAAACCTGAATTTTTAGATTATAATCAAACCTTGATTAATATACTTTCGATTTATATATTCTACTCTTCTAATGATTAAAAACATGAAAAGTTATGACAGTAAATATTTTGTTTAATTTTCAAATAGCTACCCTGTAAAATGTGTGTTTTTGGATTGTGCGGTTATTCGTGCAAAGCAGCGATATGAGGTTTTAGGGGAGGGAGGGTTAACCCCCTGTGCCATCCCCACCCTGCGGAACCCTATGGTTATGGAGATATTCATGGTTAAAATTTTAAGTTTAGAATAGCGCTATTTAGTTAATAGAATGATTTTAATCTGATATTTTCTTTCCTTACCATTATCTTGTTTTACTTATTATATTATTTATTATTATTCTCGTTTCCGTATGTCTGATGAAATTGAGGGTAAGGGATATGAGGGAGGAGGGGTAAAATGAACTAGTTTAAATGAAGAAAAGGGTGGGCTTATGGGAGGAGGGGGGGGGGTTAGTGTTGGGGAAATTCAGTTAGGGGTGGGGGGTTAGTAGTGGAGAAGTGAGGGGGTTAGAAGCTGGGAAGTCGTGCTCCGGCGCTCTGTGGCAGCAGGAAGAGCAGTCCCTCCTCCCTAGCGTAGGAAAGTGCCCCCTTCGCGCACTTCCCTACGTCGGGCGGGCACTGCTCTTCCTACGCGCCTCTGAGCTCTTATATACACTCTAGGGGTAGGGCAGTCCCCCCCCGAACGGGTTCCCGCCTTGTCGTGGCGGGGGGCTTAGAAGCCGTGGCTTGGTCACCCACGGCGAAACAAAGAGGAACCCATATGGCTGGTTCGAGGTGGAGGGCCGGCCCGAGGTGGCCACTCCGAGTATGCTTGGGAAGCCCACTTCGGATGTGTTGGTGGACTGCGGTGAGAGGTGTGTCCTCCCCACCTACCGCTGCAGCAGAGGTGGAGTCGCATAGGAAGAGGAGTGTTGGTATGGCGATGCGCCACTCGCCCTATCCTCCGCGACTCAAACGGGGCCGCACCGTTGATGCGGTGGTGATGGGGCTGCGGGGGGAGAGGATTGTCGGTATTGCGAGGCGCCGCTCTCCCTATCCTCCGCAGCCGAATCTTGGTTGGCGGCGGAGCCATAGACCAGATCCGCCGCTGGGGTCGGGAAGGCTAGTACTTCTAAGTGCTCGTTTTTCCTGGCCCCATGGCCTTCGCGCATCAGACGCGGGGGCGTCTGTTGCGCAGATGTAATTGGAGGCCGTGGAGGAAGGCGTGCCATGTGTTCTGGTGCGCCTTACTTGGGAAGGAGAACGGGGAGGAATATTCCTCTCCCGATGAGGTGCTGCCATGGGGCGGCAGTCGCTGGTGGGGCCGCGGAAGTGTGCGAAAGCGTTCCCATAGCCCTGCCAATATGCGACGAAGGTGGAACACCATGGGGTTTTAGTCGGTGCGAGTCCGACATAACCCGTCCTTGCCCCCGCGAGGCGGGTATGCGTAGGCATTTCCCCATGTAAAAAAAAAAAGGGTAGGGCAGACAAGACAACGTGGATAGTGGGGTGCTCTGATTAGGTTTTGGGTACTTTATGGATATTAAAAGAGTAAGTAAACACTTTATTGTAGTAAAAATTAGATAATACAGAAAGTTGCAAACAATGAAATACAAGTACAAAAGCTGTACTAATTAGGAAATACAAACAAGTTGCAAACAATGAAACACAAGTACTAAGGTGGAACTAAAATAGAGTAAACTTTATTCTATTTTATATACATATTTAATTGCACTTAACAGCTCTTCATATGCATCGATTAGATAGGCATCAATACTATCAAAATTTTCAGAACCCTACACTAATTGAAACATGAAGTGATTGACATTTGACATCAATTATTTGTCAAATTTATTTTGTAATTGCGCATTGTTTGCCAATTTGTATGAAAAGTGAAAAAAATGTATCTCATGAACCGTAAGTAACCACAACCTAAAACTTTGCAAAACGCTTTCTTTTAGTGATTACTATCTACAAAAAAAAATATAGGCATTTAAATCGATGGTCCATATTGGAAAGTTTATCCAAGCATTGTTTTTCCTTACGATCAAAATAAGGATAAAGAGTACCAGAAGAATATACATTTTTGGTACCTGATGAGGACCATAAACAGCTGCCAAAACCTTCGTATTGCCTTGCTCTAAGTAAGCGCTTCCATCTGGTTGAGTGAAAACTCCAAGTTTACATCTTATTCGACGAAGTTCGTTTGGTCGGCGCCCATCTAAGCGAAGTCCTTGACTGGAAAGTAAGTCTGGTCCTGGCATTCTAGTAGCTTAAATAGAATTTATCACTTCTAGTGTCGTTGGAATATTCTTGATTACAAATTTTTTTAAATTATTTCAAATTGACACACTACATATGTTATATATATTGAATAAACCACGATATTCATTAATTTAAATCTAGAGATGATCTAATTAGTCAGTGCGCAAGTAAGTACTGCACTCGTAAATACTTAGTTTGTGAACTTGTGAAGTGTATACAATTATTATTTCAACCATAGATAAATAAATATGTAGCAAGCTACAGATACGACAGTGACTTTTTGTCAAGTTTCCCAACTACGCCTTTTGGCGCTGCAGTCGCCCATTTTGACAGATGAGTAATGACTATGACTAATATAGCTATGTATAGCTTAGTGATTGCAAGCACACATCCTTCAAATTATCGATATCGATGTTTAGTGGTGTTCTTATTTTATCGATATCGACATAAGTGCAATATACAGGAATAATATTACTTAATGAAACAATTATAATACATCTACCTTATTTATTTTTTATTCAAGCACACCAACATCATATACATACAAACGTAATAAGTCATATATACAAATTAGAAAATTGTACATAACATTTTACATAAATAATTGCAATTTGGCGAGAAACAGAGCAATATTTATAGTTCATTAAATAAAGCAAATTAAACCACAGGAATCACATTCAAGTGCTTAATATTTTACTTTTCAAGGTAATAGTGTTCTGTGGGCACCACTCTGGACTGGACCTAGCTTGCTACATATTTATTTATCTATGACTGGACCTTAAGTAACACAGAACATCGCCCCATCGCCCGCTGACGTAATGGTTATATGACAAAACCGCTACGTCAGCGCAGTCAGTCAACACCTTGCCAAGAGGTGTTAGTGCCGTGCCTCGGTAAAAATTGAAGAAGGTGCAAAGGCTCGCTTGTGCACATGGCCTCACCATGAAACGGCGCCGGGTCTGGGCGTCTCCCGTTAAATGACGCCCTCTAAAATGGATGATGGAATTAAATAGAACGCTGCTTAAAAGGGCCGCTGCCTGGAGGTCACCAGGGCGCGTCTGGAGCTGGCGCTGGACGCGACAGCATGCGAACCGCCAGCTGAGAGCGAGGTGCTGCACGACCACCCAGCAGCCCCCCGCATCCATCATCCCCACCAGCTGGCTTGGTGTCGGCAGGGTCTTCGCGGGCCCAGCAATCGGCACCCGCCACTGGTGGAGTACGCCGCATGCGTTGGACAACCCAGATGAACAGCAACGCATTGCGGGCGTATTTTAGGGCAAAAGGGGGAGAAACTGGAGGTTTTGCGTATCGGGCAAGGATGCATCGACTTTTTGCTGAGCTGGAGCCATCTGTAACCGTCACCGAGCAAAACCTGGCAGACCGAGTTCGGTATATCTTGCGCTCAAATACATTTGATGTCTCTGAACTCGAACGGCTACGACGTGAGGATGTTCCTTCATCGGATGAAAATGCTGCGGTTGAGGATGCAGCGCCACAACTTGCTGAGCAAACGGCAAACGTGGATGCCGCCGTAAATACACCAGTTGTGGTTGATTCAAACGATGATGGAACAGTCGCCCAGGAACTGGAACTAGTGCAAATGAGAAGTACATTGGAAGAGGCAATTGTGGAAACGCGCAGTACGCCTCTCGAAAATCGACCGCGACTTCCCCGCATAGCACTAAGCAAGCGGGATCGGGCTGTCGTGAGGGCTCTGGACCCAATAATGGATGCAATAATGGAATACTGGTTACCTATTTGGAAGCCAGCCGGGACCTTTGCGAGATGGACTCAATTCTTTTTGGCGCCGCACTGGCAGTCTGCCGTATTATCCTTTCAGCTGCGGAGACTCTAACCGTCATACTCCGTTGACTGCGGAGCTGTTTAATAAAATTGACGGCGCATTGGGCGCAATCCGTTTAAACGTTTCTTGATTTTGGTATATCAAATACTATAATATGTATACATTTCCGAATTCTCTACGAAATTTCCTATAAACAAGTACATGAATTAAATAAAGTTCCAAAGTAATAAGTGTAAGTAAATATTGAATAAAGACAAAATTGTCATATTTCTCGATGAAACAAAGTTTTTTAATACTTCGATTTTATTTTCATTTAATTTTAAATCTATTGTTTACAATATTTTATGCGCAAAATCATAGGCTACAGTACAATTTTTTATCATAAAACGCATTAATAGTAAGCTTACAAGAACCAACAATCAACTTAAACCGATGTAGAATGTAGTTCGGACTGTCTGACGAGATGCGGCATTAACAATTAAACTGCCTTCGGTCACGTTTTAATGCAATACTCCGTACAAAGTGACTGACACGGCAGTCAAAGGTTTAATGCATTAGTCAATAAAATTAACACTAGTTTTTTATTTCATTAAAAATGTATGCTTAAAATCATGAAGAAACATGTGGTTTTATTTAAAGGACTAGTTGAACCTCTCTTTTTCCTTATATGATTCAGTCATCTTTAAATAGATCTTGCTAAGTTTTACAAATCTCATAAAGTTATGAAATAAGTATTCTTAGCGCCGATATCAAAATTTTTGCCGTAAGTGCCATATTTATTGAAAAATTAATTCCTTAATTTGAGCGAACAATTTTCAACAGCATTTATAGAGAAATAAAGATTCATTCTTTCCCTTAAAAGCCATAAAACCACTCAAGGGTCACTCCGGCGGATGTAGAGAGTCTAAAATAACGTTTTTTGTAAACAATACAAAGCAGTTCAGAGGCGCCGCGGGGTGCGCGGCGGTTATATTAAATTTCCAATAACCAACATAATTTTAGGAACATTATTTCTTAAAAAGGTAATATATTTACTTTAACACAAATAATATCTACGAAATAATAACATTTAAAATAAACATATCTCTTCCTGAAATAAAAAATATTATGGATTTATATTTTTAAGGAACCCAATTCTTATGCTCCAAAAATATGCCAAAATTAAAGACCGATTTTGCACTTTTTGTGCATTATGTACTAGTTAATTAAAACATTTATATACGTGGTAGAGCCATGCTGCAGTTATATTATTAGTATAGTTTTAATGGGGCGAAGGGGAAGACCACGCTCTCACAGAATACCAGCGTGAAATATTAGCTTAACGCTGGCTGTGTTTCGTATGGTGAGTGTAGAGAACCGGAGACGGTTTTTCTGGAAACGAGGCATTCCATCTTAGTCCTCACGGGTGACAACGCATCTGCATTTTCATTTGTAATCGAGGATATATGTAGATATCTACGGGCCGCAGCAACTATTTACAATCAGGTGGACTGTGTGCTCGTTTGTCACCCTATTCTATAGAAAACATACAAAATAAAAAGGTGTATTCATTTCAACGATGAGATGAGAACCGTGATGGCTCAGAGGAGCCCCGGTAACTCAGATGGTTAGCTCTCGCGTTAAATTTCACAGTACGCTAGCAAACCGGGTTCGATCCCCGCTAGCGTCAATGAAATTGTTAATTGCAATTTTAAGTGCTGATCTACCACATGTTTGGTGGTGAAGGAAAATATCGTGAAAAATCTGACTGTCTGAGATATAAGAAAAAAATATTTCGAAGACATGTGAAGTTCGCAAACACGCATAGGGGCAGCGTAGCGGACACTTCTTTTCCCTAAAACCCTCTCAGAAGTGAGGTAAGGCCCAGCAGTGGGACGTAAATAGTCTGTAACTTAAGAAACGTAACTATTTCAACGATGATAGTCTGAAATAATCAGCAGAACAAATTACAGCTAGGCAACAATAAAAACTAAATGGCTGGATGTACATAAGTATAAAATTGAATAAATATGTAACATGGGTACTCATTTCTTTAAAAGGCTCCTGGTACTTGTTCGATTTACTGTATCTACAGTACTAATTATTTACGAATGGTACTGTGGGTATCAGCAATCTTGCTCTAGGTTGAAACATAACGCAACGTTACACGATTTGCAAAACTGAAACGTAACGTAAAAAGTAAATCAAAAAGAATTAATTTTTTTCTTTTTGATTTATGAATTTTGCAAAGTGCATATAGATAAAATGTACATTAAAAAAACCGATATAAGAAACATGTGTCTGAGGTGACCATAAAAACCACAACCTGTATATATTAGAATAAAAAAATAAAAATTTCAATATTAAATATTAAAATAAAAATATTAAAAAGCGTTACATATGCTTTATAATATTTATACTTTCTACTTTTCTGTTTTGATAAATTGTTTAAAAAATTCCGAAGCCTTGTGTTAACATACATAACATATCCAAATGCCACATCTAATTTTTGCATAAATCGTCGAATGAGTTTGGAATCAACCAAGCTCCGTTTATCTGCTCGAGGGCGCTAGATTCTTTACGATTCTAACAATTCAACCAAATTTGAACGTGATGCAGTATGGCAAACTTTAGTTCCTTTTTTCGCCACCCGCAAACAAAGAACTAGAATTCACTACTGCGGGCGTCTCATAGATGGACACTATTGCACCTATTGCGTATTTACATTGAAATTTTGAAAATATTGCACTTTATCCTCATTTTTATGTACTAAAACTGTAAATGATTAACAATTACACATATTTTGACACAAAACTGACAGTCAACACTTTTAGTGTTTTACGTACATTCAAGTCAAATTTCCGCAACCAGCATGTTAGTTCTAAGATAGCGGTTTGCTTCATACAAATTAAAAAACAATTTTACACGTGCTTAGTGAGATAAAACAGTAAATGATATTACAAATAAGGAGGTTGCTTACCCAGGCATTGTTTTAACACAATTCACCACACAATTAATATAAATTAGTACAAAATAATTGCTAACAACTTTGTTGTTAGCAATTATTTTTATGGTAACCTTTTTTATCCTGTACACATCGACACGTGATAGAATGAGTTAGACATAGTGCGTAATGCTTTATTTCGACATTAAAAAATGCCAAGTACTTGGACACCCGCAGTCAACGGAGATATTTTCGTGTCCAAGGGCTAGACGTCCGCAGTTGAGAGGTTATAGGCGCCAAACTTTCCACGGCCCGACGTGCTACCGGACAAAGTACTGCTATCCCAGCCTGAAAAATAAGAATTGAAGAACGTATCGCAAAGGCTAGGGCCCTCATCGGCAGACTGATATGCTTCAGGTCAGGCAATACCAGGCCAAGGATTGTGCGCACCATCAGGATGGCGTTTGCTGGTACAAATGTTAGTTTGTCCCAGCCGGATATAATGCGAAAACTGACGGAGCGCATAGACGACCTGAAGCAAATAATCGCCGCTTGGGGAAAGCGGATTCGGCGAAATACCAAGAGGTCGACACGGTTCAACCAGAATTGTCTGAAGAGGCTCTATAAATCATTGGAGCGACCAATGGTAAGTGGAATGGGCCCAGCCGAACCGAATCAGGCCGATACGGTCGCATTCTGACGCAGCCTGTAATCAGAGCCGTAAACCACAACGAACGCCCTTGGACGGAAGTTGTGGCGAGTCAGTGTGCGGGTATTACGCCCATAGACCCCGTCATCATAACGCCGGATGACGTAGCTGAGGCGGTCCGTAGGGCCCCGAACTGGAAAAGTCCGGGGCTTGACGGGCTGCATCACTACTAGCTGAAGTGGTTCATGGTGTGTCACGCTGTGCTCGCCCGACAGTTTCAAGAGGCTCTCAACCAGAAGTCGCTCCCAAGCCTCTTCACTACTGGGATCACTCATTTGGTTCCTAAAGATCAGGGTGCTACAGACCCGAGCAAATACCGCCCCATCACGTGTCTACCGACTGTATACAAAACACTAACATCCATTTTGAACGCGAGAATCACTCATCACCTGGACTCAAATCAGGTGATGTCGCGCGCTCAAAATTAATGTCGGGGCGGCGGTCGTCGAACCAAGGAACCACTCCTCATTGACGCGGTCATTGGCAAAGCGGTGAAACGAAACCGTCGGAACTTCTCCGCCGCCTGGATAGATTACAGAAAGGCATTTGACTCGGTGCCCCATACATGGCTAAAGAGGGTCCTCGAGCTGTAAGAGATGAGCTGAACAGTTCGAGACTTACTCGAGCAGTGTATGGGGCAGTGGAAGAGATCCTCTGTGACCTAGGTGAGTGGATGACGGCTGCGGAAAGCCGCATAAGGATAAGAAGGGGTATATTCCAGGGCGACTGTCCGAGTCCAATCTGGTTCTGCCTCCCTTTGAACCATCTCAGTACTTTACTGGAGGGCTCCGGGAGGGGATTTCAGCTTCGGAAAGGAGGTACAAAAGTGACCCACCTTTTCTATATAGATGACCTCAAGTTATACGCCTCCAGTCGCTCCCATTGCTAAACATTACTTGTGAATTTAGCAATTCTATTGGAATGGAGCTGGGGACGGATAAGTGTGCGGTCTTCCAAGTTGAAAGGGGAAGGTTTGCTAACTCTGAGGGCATAGGCTTATCTATATCTGTCATCTTAAGGACCCTTTCCTTTGGAACATCGGTATCGATGAGGCTGGTATGAACAGTCAGTTTGCGACGGTTATGCACGCTTGACCAAAGTACTTAACAGTCTTTCGTCCGGTGTGAATAAGACACACGCATGTAACGGCTGGGTCATGCCTGTCCTCACTTATACCTTTGGCATACTCAGGTGGAGTCAGACTGAACTTAACACCCTGGATAGAAAAGTCCGCACTACAATGACGTCCCGTAGGATGCATCATCCGAGATCGTCGGTAAAGAGGCTGTACTTGCCGCGAAAGCATGGTGGGCATGGCTTCCTGTACGTGCTCACCAAAACAAAACAAAAAAATTTTCAATTTCGTCAATGCCGTTAAGATTAAAGATGTAATACCCCGCCCCGCCGTACCCGTCCGCC